GTGTGTGTGTGTGTGTGTGTGTGTGTGTGTGTGTGTGTGTGTGTGTGTGCGCGCGCGCACGCGCGCGCATGCACGCACACTTTAGAGGAATACATTTGTGTATATGGGGTGGTGCTGTGTGCCTGCCTGTTATATGCACATGTGGGTGAAGGCCAGAGGATGACATCTTTGCATTATTGTCCTCTTCCTTAGTCCCTCAAGACAGAGTCTCTGACTGAGACTGGAGCCAGGCTGGCACCCAACAAGGCCTACCACCCTCTGTCACTGTGCCTCATAGTGCTGGGTGTTTGCCACTAGGGTCACGTGTACTTATGCCCACACATGGCTTATTTTTATGGAATATCAGGGGTTTTTAACTAAGTTCCCTTTTTTTTTTTTAAATAGTTTTCTTTGGGTGGGAAGGGAGGATAGAGGAGGATGGGAAATAAAAACTGTTCCTTCATTTAGCCCCCAGTGTAGGTTCCCTGTGTTCTGTAGGAGATAGTTTTGTGGGGATTTCCCATAGTCCATCTAACCATGGAAGCACATGGAAAGCAGAGTGTCAGGTCCTCCCAGGACATAACTCATTCATGTCTGTTATCTCCCCATCAGACAACCACACCAGCCCGCCTTCAAGTTTCTGCCTTGACTCCCTCAGGAGAAACTGAGTTGGAAGGAGGACATTACCTTTGATGTCAGTCTACCAGGCCCCAGGACCCTGGAGGGGAGGTTGCAGGAGTGGCCACCTGAGGTTGGTCAGTGCCCTCCTGTGCCCCTCATCTGTTCCCTTAAGGCATGGCAGCTTCCCAGGCTTCTCTTCCACCAGGCTTCTACATGAGCTGCCTGGACTTTGGCCACCAGGTCCTTAAGAAAGGGACAAGTGGTGATCCATGATCTGGATGATTGTATCAAAGAGTGGCCAGGAGCCAGAGCTGAGCTCCTCACCTTTCCTGCTGCCCCTTAACCACGGCAGGGTCTCAGTAGTTGCCTTCACCCAGGCCAGGCCCTCCTCCTCCACCCTCCCTCCTACACAATTCCCAGTTGTTTTCTTTCTTGCTAAAGTTGTTAGAATGTGTTGATTTGGCAGAGAGAGAACCCACAACCTCTACTAGGCTTCCTTGCTGACCAGGCCAGAGCCTCCTCTCTCTCCTCTCTTCTTTTAGTGGAAGGGATATATGCACATTTCAGAGGGGTGAGGCAAGGAGAATTTTGCTGTTGGCCTGTGGGAGGGCTGTCTACATCTGTGTATGGTGTGTGTCCTGACTTGCTCCCATTGCTTATTTTAAGCTGCTCTCTTCCCTGTATAGGGCACTAGTCGCTTCTTCACGCCTATCAACAGTACCTGATGAAAAACAGCCTAAGGAGGAATGATTTATTTCAGTGCACAGTTTGATGGCAGGGAAGGATTCTGGCTGGGGTCTACCCATGGTGGCAGAAGCTTGCTATGTGACCTGTGGTGAGGAAGTAGAGTCTGTGGACAAGATGAGGCCAGCTGGAACCCTCTAGCGCCACCTCTACAGCCCTAGGTCTGTCAGCCAGGCCCAATGGCTCGAAGGTCCTATGACTGTGCACCATGAGCTGGAGAACAAGTGTTCAAATGGAAGAGCCCATGGGGGACATTGACACTGAAGCCCACAGCACATTTAATGTACAGCATGGCATGCCTCTCCTCACAGCCCAGAGTGTCAGTTTACACAGTTGTTTTACTTATGGAACGTGTCATGTTTAGAAAGAAAAACATGGTTCAACCAGTTTTGTACTGTTGGCTAAGTGGATGGTTTCCAGAGTGGCTTATGTATGTGTGGCTCTCCAGTAAACCTCCTTAGGTTAAATTCTGACAAACAAAATCTCAGGTTTTGTAAAGGGCTTTTTAGCCGCATATGTGGCTTCTCTTCAAAAGGCTGTGGAATTTCATCTTACAACATGAACATGCTTTTGTGTGATAGGCTTTCCTTGGGGAGACACAGCAAACACACACACACACACACACACACACACTCACACACTCACAGTCACACTTATACCCCAGTTTACCCTTAAAAATGGAAAAGACCAAAGTAAGTAAATTTGTCTTGGTAAATGAGGAAGATTTGGGGGCTACTAACAGAAGTGGTGCTGAGGGGTTACTTCCAGGAGCAAGAGTGGCATAGGCAGCTGTATCATCAAAAGCCTACCCCGACATGAGTGACAGCTCATGACAGCTGCAAGCCTGGAGCTCTCAGCACAGCCTGCAGCAGCCCACCAGAGAGCCTCCTTCAGTGCAGTGGGGCTGTGCTGTCTCCTCCCCAGAAGTTTGTTCATTTTTATTTAGCTGGGGAGGCCCTCAGGAACCTTGCAAGTTTTCTTCTTCCAGACTGTGACCCTTTGTTTGCCTTCTGAGGCTGCTGAGTCCCCTCTCCCTCCTATAGGAAATGTTTGAATTTGGTGGTAGCAACCTACAACATAATCTGGCCTTTTCTCACTTCAGCTAGACCCTGGCACTTGACTCTTAGTCTGCTCTCATGTTAAACTAAGTTGGTTCCTTACAAAGAGGAATCCTTTCAACTTTTTGGTTGGAAGGCCCTGGTCCAAGGACTGGAAGGATCTTGTCCTAGCCATAGTTGGTAGAGAACAAAGTTCAGTAAATGTCAAGGGCTTCAGTGCTGTCTGTTTGTCCACTGTGCTGGCTAGTTTTGTGTCAACTTGACATAAGCTAAAGTCATCTGAGAGGAGGAAGCATCGGTTAAGAAAATGCCTCCACAAGATTAGGCAAGCATTTAAGGTGCTTTCTTAGTGATTGATTGGGGTGGACCCAGCCCATTGTATATAGTTTCATATCTGGGCCGGTGGTCCTGGGTTCTGTAAGAAAGCATGCTGAGAAAGCCGGTAAGCAGGACCCATCCATGGCCTCTGCCTCAGCGCCTGCCTTCAGGTTCCTGCCCTGCTTGAGTACCTGCCCTCACTGCTTTTGATGGTGAGCTGTCATATGGAACTGTGAGTGAAACAACCCCCTTTCTTCCCCAAGTCACTTTTAGTTATGATGTTTAATCACAGAAATAGTAACCCTAACTAGAACACCTACATAAAAGAAAATTTGTTTATTATAAAAAATTAGTTATAGTTATTTTTTAAAAATCCATCTGCAGTGCAGTCATTGATTAAAAGTAATTATCCTGAACATTTGACACTATTTCTAACTTTGTGTTACTATGATGAAAACTCAGGACAACTAATTTTATAGAGAGAAAGGTCTCTGGATGCTCAGTCAGGTAGGCCTCATGGAGTCTGACTCTGGCCAAAGCTGGAGTGTGTATCTCAGTCAGTCATTAGCCAGGAGCAGAGAGTGGCTTCTCAGAGTCCCTTGTTCTTTCTTAACCACCCCTCTCCCCTGGCCACGAACCAGGTTCCACCTGGTTCCATTAGGTTCCACCTCTTCCAGGCTCCATTGCCTCCCAGTAGCACCACTCTAGGGACCAATCCTTTAGCACACAAGCTGTCAGTGACAATGAGCATTGACCATCCAGTCTGTAGCTCACAGTGAACGGCCAGGTAGGGTGTTTTCAGCCCCTCTGTTTCCTCCCTCTGTTCTCTTGTGTGTAGTTCTTTACCCCAGGGACTGGGATGATGCCTTAGTCAGTAAAGTGCTTCCTGTGCACGCTTAAGGACCTGAGTTCATATCCCATCACCCACGTTAAAAAACAAGCTATGGGCATATGTTCCTGTTACACCAGCACTGGGTAGGGGCAGTGACAGGAGGTTCTGTGGGGCTTGCTAGCCAGCCAGTCCGCCAAATCAGGGAACTCCAGGTTCATGGGAAACCCTGCTTCAAAGAACCAAGTGGAGAGCTAATGAGAAAGATGCCTGTCATTAATCTCTGGCCTTCTATCTCCAGCCCCTCAGCTGTACTTATTAGCTTTGGAATTTAAGGAATTTCCTTAACTTCTTGAAGCCTCTTTCCTTCCTTGTCTAATACATTAGGAACCATCCCTGTTCCGTGGCTTCAGTGAGCTAATCCAAATGGTGGTCTTAGCAGAGCCTGGGGCCAGCATGCAGCCCAGAATAAACACCCACCCAGCCCAGGGCAAGTACCTAGCGCCTCATCTGTTGGTTATCATTATCCTGGCTTTTATTTGTATGAGTGTTCTGCCTGTCTGTACGTATGTTTGCCATATGTGTGATGAGGCTCCTGATGAGGTCAAAAGAAGACTTAAAAGCTCCTACCCCCAGAACAAGGGTTACAGATGGTTGTAAGCTGCCTGTAGATGCTGGGAACCAAACCTGGCTTTTCTGCAAGAAAAACAAGTGGTCTTAATAGCTGAGCTGTCTCCCCAGCCTCTTGTCCTGGTTTTTATTTCCGCTGTCGTTACCAAGCCCAGCCTGGTGTACAGAGGCTGCGGAGAGCCCCTTTGTACTCCACCAGTTTGGAATAAGAGTTCTGCCTTCCTGCCCTTTTCCCCAGGAAGAATAGTCTAATGCACACCTCTTATCTCTCCAGCTCGACTTCACCAGCTAGAAGGGCTGAGAACCATCGGTGTCACCACGAATGGCATCAACCTGGCCCGGCTGCTGCCCCAGCTTCAGCAGGCAGGCCTCAACGCCGTTAATATCAGCCTGGACACTCTGGTTCCCACCAAGTTTGAGTTCATCGTCCGTAGAAAAGGTGATCACAGACTGAGGTGTGATTCCCCCCAGGGCTCTGTTGGGGCTCTGGGTGTCTGCCGGAGGGTAATCAGTTCCTTCTGGTGTCTGGATTACCGCTGTTCTCTCAGTAAGGAATACATACCAAGGCCAGATTGTTTGCCTGGAGATACATGGACTAAGTGAGGCAGAAACGATGGCCCTGAGGTGTCAGGCTCGGGGTGCACAGGGGTCCTGGGGTCACTCCTGTGTCCAACAAAGCCTCTTTTCCTCTCTCCTTGCTCCAAATATTCTCACACAGGTCTCCCCTGTGGTGGCTTCAGGGATGCTGAGATGGCAGGTGGCACCAGCCTGGAGCTCTGGTGTCCCTAGGTCAGAGCCTGGCTTCTCTTGACCACGGGTACTCCACTCTGGAAGGTCAGAGGGGGTTTAGGAAAGGCAGCTTCCCACCCTCTTCCTTGGAGCAGTACACTAGCCATGCTGTTGCACCCCTCCTTCCCTGCCCTGGTGTACAGCTTTCGCCCCTCCAGAACCTGGCTAAGCTCTGGCTGGGGCTCCTACCTCTGGAGAGGGCCACAGCCTCCACTTTGACAGAATTCAGAGTCTAGTAATACAGGTTTAAGGTATTTATATGTTGACATTTTTATGTGGGACATGTGCATGTATGTTTATGTACATATATGTGCATGTGTGTTCACATATTTGTGGGTATGTGTGCAGGTGGAGGCCAAAGGACAGCCTTCGATGTTATTTCTCATGAGTTGAACATTAGGAATTTTTTAAAGACAGAATCTCTGGGATCTGGGATACACTGATCTTGACTACTCCGGTTAGCCAGTGAGTCCTGGGACTTTGCCACACCTCCTGGGCTTGGGGTTACAAGCATACCATCATGTCCAGCTGTTTACATGACCTGATCAAACCTGCGGGCTTCGGAACAAAACATAAAACCTGCACAGAACAGCCTGTGCTGATCTCTCAGTATCCATGAAGTGCCGTGGGGAGGAAGGGGACTCTAAGTAAGATAGGTGTGAGAGTGTGAGATATGACCCTGCTGGCCTGGTGCCATCGAGGTTTGGGTCTGGGGCACTTCCTTTGAGGAAGCTATGAACAGAGAGCGTGAGGGCTAGGAAGTGGCAAGTGGAAAGGTGCCTCAACCTGGGCCCATCTCTGCATTGTTCTCTCTTGTCTTCTGCTGTAGCACAAGCCCTACCCCAGGGACACATCTGACATCAGGGTGCCATCCCTCCCCTTCCCCTTTTATGCTCTGACCTTCACCTGCCACTGAAGGGACCAGTCATTGGGATCACACCAGTGAGAGAGGAGCCTATATCATATAAGATGGAGTGTGAAGACTGTAGCAGGGCCTCAGTTTCCCCATCTAGACTGTGCACGGCTCAGCTAGATCGTGGGTCAGCCAACTGTGGCCCATAAGCCACATCTAGTTCCTGTTTTTGTACAGCGTTGGGCATAAGTCCTACAGAGAACGTATCTAATCATTAATTATTAAGAACATGACCTGTGAACCCCAGTTAAACAGTATTGTATCCCTGAGGAAATCGTTATTCCTCTATCCCACGTTATTAAAATCAAACATGGGACTGGTGGGATAGTAAAGTTAACTCCAATTCCAAGGGACCCAGTACCCTCTTCTGACCTTCATGGGCACCAGATACACATGTGGCGCACAGACATACATGCAGGTCAGACATCTGTATACACAAAAATAGACACACAGACAAAGAAGACAACAAGTCAAAGTAGATAGCTTTGATGAATGACACCCGACCTGTGCATACACCCCAACAAATACATGAACGTGCACACATGCCTACACTCTGCAAAAAATACTTGTAAATAAAAGTGAAAACCATATTGTTATACTTTGAATTTAGTAAAAACATGCTTCATGTCATATAGCCATAAAGAATCTGGGAGAGGCCTGCTGGCTTGTGTGACCTGTCAAGCCAGGTGGTAGCTCAGGGTATTTTTGTGTTTTGTTTTGTTGTTCCACATGGCTCTGGTGGATCCCTGGAGAACGGGGTCCCTGAATCCTTTCTTCTCCTTGTCTGCAGGCTTCCACAAAGTTATGGAGGGTATCCACAAAGCCATCGAGCTTGGTTACCGGCCTGTGAAGGTGAGGGCCTGTCACTCCTGCTGGTTTCTGCCTTCCTTCCTGACCCTGGGCAGGAGGACCAGGTCTATGACATGATAGCCCTCAGCCTGGCCAGTGGACATGTGCCTCCCACTGCTCCTTGCCAAGTTCCAGCTAGCCTCCACTCCTCCCTGACTGGGTATAGGGACTGGGTATCCCACAGTGGGATACCCCAGCTGTGGGGTCCCCGGTGGTAAGACATGAGCACTAGGCCCTGACTAGGCCATGCCCCCAAAGGTTGTCTTCACAAAAGCATGTTAGAGAGCTCTCACTGCCCAATTGTGCTTGGTCAGGTGAACTGTGTGGTGATGCGTGGCCTGAATGAAGATGAGCTTCTGGACTTTGTGGCCTTGACAGAAGGCCTTCCCCTGGATGTGCGCTTTATTGAGTACATGCCATTTGACGGTGAGTGACAAGAGTGTGGCAGAGAGGGAAGGGGTGGCTGGGCCTCATGGCTGTACCAGGTACTGCTAAGACATAGGATGAAGGGGGGATGATGTGGAGCCAGTCTGGAGTCAAGTATGAATGTGATTTGATCCTTGGGCAGGGTCCCCTTCATCTCTGGTTCAAAAGCTCCCCCTGCCACCCGCAACCAAATACAGGCAACAAGTGGAACTTCAAGAAGATGGTTAGCTACAAGGAAATGCTGGACACCATTCAACAGCAGTGGCCAGGGCTGCAGAAGCTGCCAGAAGAGGATTCCAGCACAGCCAAGGTTAGGGAGCAGGAGGGTGAAGCTGGCGGTGGCCCTGCCTTCATCAGAGTGGGTGGGGTCCTGCTGTAAATTCAGAGAGTAGCTATGGACCAGGATGCTCAGCAGGGCCCTGGTTGCTTGAAAGAGCAGCCTGGATTTGGATGGGTAAGACTAGGTAGCATCAGAGGTCATGTTTCTGCAGCTAAACGGGGGCAGTGCTGTCTCTCACCTCCACAGGGCTTTCTGTGATGTGTTGTCCACAGATATCTGTATCCATAGCAACTCTTCTCCAGAGCAAGTCAGGCAAAAGCAGGGGCTCGTGAGTCGCCCACCACACTGGAAGAGAGCTGCCAAGCGGGGTCATGACATCAGCAAGGGGAATCTTGGGAGTGAGGGATAGCTCACCCTGTCCCTTCCGCTGCCTTTCTCTTTCTAGGCCTTTAAGATTCCTGGTTTCCAGGGTCAGGTCAGCTTCATCACGTCCATGTCAGAGCATTTCTGTGGGACCTGCAACCGGCTGCGCATCACGGCTGATGGGAACCTCAAGGTGAGCATCCTTAGCCCCTCCCACCCAAGGGCCCCTTGCTACCCCGACCTCATGTTCCCCCTGAGCTCTCTGATTAGAGGGGGCGGTCAGTGGCCAGTGCAGGGGGACTTGGCAGTGGCCAGAATGAATCTGTTTTGTTTTCCGTGGCAGCCATTCCTGTTTCTTCAGTCCTTCATTCTTTGGGTCCCGAGAGTAACTTATGGTTTATCCAGCACTCGGCGCTGCCAGAGGGGACATCAGAACGATTGTTGGACACGTGTCTTTCTGGTTAGCGTTTGCCTCCCAGCCAGGGACTCACCTCTGAAACCAGCCTCCATTACTTGGCTAGTTGGTGAGCTCTGTGTTTGGGCATGTGGCTGTGGAAAGGCTCATTTCCTTGAGGCTGTAAGAACTCATTGGCAGCTTCAAAGAGGTGGTAGGCAGGAGCTTAACAGTCCTCTATCCCGTGCATTTCTGTGCTGGTGCTGATGGCCTTGAGGACCTCGCTGAGATATGGACTCATGCTGCTTGAAATCAGATCTGGGTACTCAAGACTGTTGAGAGCTGGGATTCAGAACGATCTTCTGACTGGAACAAGATGGGGACATGATCCCCAGTCTTCCCTGGATTTGAACTTAAACTTGTTAAAAGGTAGTGATCATGACACATAAATATGTGAGGGTGAAGATGTGAGGTTTGTGCTGGAGAGATGGCCCTGTGCAATCATGGGGACCCACGTTCGGGTCTCCAAATCCCATGTAAAAAGCCAAGCCAAGCATGGCTGTGTGCTTGCAATCCCAGGGCAGGGGAGGTGGGGACTGGAGAATCTCCGAGCTCACTGGCCAGCCAGTCTAGCCGAGTCAGTGAAATCCAGGTCAGTGGGAAACCTCAAAAACTAAGGTGGAGATGATTAAGGAAGGCACCTGATGTTGACCTTTGTTTTCTATGCATACACACACACACACACACACACACACACACACACACACACACACACTCACACCCACAGCTGTATATAAAAAAACTAAGGTGGGGATGATTAAGGAAGGCACCTGATATTGACCTTTGTTTTCTATGCATGCATACACACACACACACACACACACACACACACACACACACACACACACTTACACCTGTATATACAGGGAACAGAGACACACATATACAAAAGAAAAAATATGGGACAAAAGAGTTTGGTGGTGTGTACACTGGAGAGGGTGTGCCCGGGTGGCTGCTGGGCCTGGTTCTCTGTAGGATTAGGGTTGGAGCTGCAGGTTTGGGGTCGGCCCATTTGAATACTGGGTTTTTGGAGATGGGGGATTTCCTGGACTGGAGCCAGAAGTGCCTAGGAATGCAGGCAGTATCTCCATCAAAATCCCTATGGAAAATGTACAAAAGGTATCCAAAGGAATGAGATGATTATTTAGAGTGAGAGGCAGGGTTAAGGGAACTAATAAGGGACATTGAGGCCTTCTGAGGAGCAGCAGTCAACAGATGGCCCCACCTCAGTGGGGGATGGAGGAAGTGATGTCACTGAGGGCCAGTGAGGCTTCAGCCTTGAGGGAAGAGAGTTGGGGCTTCAGCTGTGGAGGGGAGCAGCTGCTGCCAGAGATGAGGAACGGGGAGGAAAGCCAGAGACTTCTCTTCTTCTCTCCTGGTCTCCCAAACAGAAAGCAGCACAGGAAACCCCATACAGAGAAGTCTACAGAGGACTCAGCGTAGTGTTGGCAGTGAAAGGCAGAGAGGACCCTGGGCCCTGTGGTGTAGGGAGGGACAATTCCCAACATGGTGGAGAAGCCAAACCTCTCTTAGTTGTGACTTCTCCAGAGCTCTGCCCTTTCTGGCTTCTCAAACATTTTTCCGATGCACAGCTGACATGGAAGGTTCTGAAGCAGAGTACGTGCTAGTTTTCTGAACTACGATGTTCCCATCCCCACCCCCATGACCAAGCTTCTCGCAGAAGCTAGGAAACACTGAGTCAAGACTGAGTGGGCACAAGATGTCTTCTCCAGCCAGGGGTTGTGGCTCACACCTGTGATCCAGCCCTTGCGAGTCCAATGGCAGAAGGGTAGTCTCAGTTCCAGGCCATCTTGGACTACATAGCCTGAGCTTTAAAATGAGTCTCTGTCTCAGAAACAGACAAACCCAAAGCTGTCATCTCTAACAGCTCTCAGCTGCTTAGCTACCAAGCATGGATCCTAGACTAAAACGGGCTGCTGCAGATAGTAGTGGCCATTCCAGAAGGACAGGAAGGGCTGATGGGAAACAAGGTATGTGTACCGCCTCCAGGGTACAAAGCTCCCCCTCAGATGGGTCCACTCTCACAGTGATAAAGGCTTCCCCATCTGATAAGTCAGAAGATAGCAGCAGCAGCCCGGAGTCTTCTGTTCTTCCTGTGTAGCTTTTTAATTCTCAGCACATGCTGTACATTCCAAACGGTCTGCAAGTAAACGCCACACAGAAGTCTGACTTTGCCTCCTGCTTATCTAGCCTCTGTGGCCCCTCCACCCAGTCCCTCTGTCCTTTGTGGCCCTGAGTCCTGCCTTGTGTGAGCCTGCTATGGACATGAGCACGGATGCCTAGCTCTGTGGGGCTGGCAGAAGGCAGAGGCAGAGGCTCTGGGGTGAGGCCACATGCTGTCGTCCTGACAGGTCTGCCTCTTCGGGAACTCTGAGGTGTCACTTCGGGACCACCTGCGGGCGGGGGCCTCGGAGGAGGAGCTGCTGAGGATCATTGGGGCAGCGGTGGGTAGGAAGAAGCGGCAGCACGCAGGTAAGGACTGGGCAGGAAGGCTGGGCAGGCATGGGCCAGGGTCAGTGGGATGAAACTGCCCAGTGTAAGTGTAGTTCTGGCCATTGTCCATTCCTGTTGAAACTTTGGACTTATGGAGGTGCCTCTTCTTTGAGAAAATTGACATAGTATAGGCTGCACAGAACCCCAAAATTTTATTGGGCTAAGAGCTATCACTGGCTCCCTGGATTCCTATGCAGTGTCTTTGGGAGAAAAGGGGGGAGTTCCAGGTTCCTGGGCATTTCCAGACTGCTGTGTTCATGGCCTCGCCATGAGGGATATATGTGAGGGATTTTGTCAGAAAGCCTGTGGTTGTGTGCAGGGCACATTCATCCACCCATGTGTTTTATCAAATTCTCCCTTCTCCCTCCTCCCCTGCTTTTCTTTCCATCCATCCTTCCCTCATGCCAGGCATGTTCAATATTGCCCAGATGAAGAACCGGCCCATGATCCTCATCGGTGGGTGATCTCTCAGTACGTAACTACTCACCCTTGTCATTTGGGGGGTCCCTGTGGTACGGGTGGGGTCCCCTATGTGAGGCAACTCCTGTTCTGCCTCATAACATTCTTTCTTAAAAAAAAAAAGGCAAACAATTTCATCTATTCTTAAACCTTTCATGTCTACTATTTCTTCCTTGCCCACAGCAACCTTTTGTCTCCCGACTATAGAATGGCAGAACTTCTCCCTCTCTGGAAATTACAGCAGGGGCTTCTTCAGAGCTGATGATCACTGAGTTAGCTCTTCCTGGAGAGTGGAGCATCTCAGCTCTTGATTCTCTCAGCAGGACACTGATGTCCCTTCTTTGCCACATGGAGCTACCCTTGCATGTGTGTGGCCCATCCGTTGTCTCAGCCAAGCATAAATTGAGGCAGCTCTCTGAACATCCAGGATTTGAAAGTGCCGGTTCTTTAACTCCAGGGACTGTGTGCACAGGATGAATCTCAAGTATAGGGTGTGTCTGCAAGTGAAAACACCACTTGATAAAGTCCTGGGTAGTGTCCTATCTGGGGAACTGGGTTGGTCCCTGAGGATCTAGGAGGGCCCCTGCTCTTCTGCTCAGTGCCCAGATGACAGCAGATGAAGCCTTGAGCCCCTAGGTCACACCCAGATCTAGGCTTTCTGAACTAGACTATTGGAACAGAAAAAGCACTAGGCAAACCTGAAGGAAAGGGTTCCTTCCTCTAGAGCTTGGAGCAGAGTGAGTCCAAGTAGCATAGAGGTCCAGAGCAAAGCAGATTCCATGGCCAGAGCTAGCCCAGTGACCACCCAGCACACCAGCCCCCAGAGCAGGAGGGACATGATGGAGAAGCATCCACTAGGGAAGACACCTTACTCATCTCCCCCTGCCTCTTTCTCCCACGCACCAGGTCCTGTCTTGGCTTGTGCATCTTCACAGCCAGGAATGGGAATGCCTTAATGGCCTTCCCTCCGACAGACAAGGGTGAGGCTTAGAGTATGAGGGAAAAGGAGAAGTTGGGGGCTGCTGTCTCCGTCAGGACTCTTAACTGAAATCTGTGGCCTGGTTTTCATAAAACCAGAGTTGCCTTGGTCAGGGCCTCTGACTCCCATGAGCCTTGTGAGCCACTTTGGGATCCTACTCGTTCTGACATGGTAGGACCATGGTGGAAGTATCCCCTCCTGTGAGCTCTCAGTGGCTGCTGATGTCAGGGTGCTGACACTGGCCTTTTGTCTGTTTTTTGGGAAGCAGTACAAGGTTCCCTGAACAAGGGAACCAAGATGTCACTTGATGCCCTTGTAAAGATTTGACACTGTTTAAGTACATGAACTGTTTGCTTTAGTGTCTTACCCATCAGTAAGACAATTGCTGTTCATTCTCCATTAGAAGCAGCAGGGTATACCTGTGGTTGGTAATTCAGGATGAGATCTAGCTGGTTTTAGGGAAATGAATGGACATCAAAAAGCTGTTTGATCCAGGCATCAGCCTTCAGGCCTTCAGTGTGTCATAGGAAAACTCTGGGACAGAAGGACCCGGAAGTGATCTTGCTCCATCACTGCCTGAGGAGCGTACACCAAAGCTGGGCACCTTCCATTTGGTTCCTTCTGTCTGCTTTGTTCTTCCTTCTCCCCATTGTGAACAAGATCTCATGGTGGGACAAAAAGAGGTCAGGAGAAGATGTGAGAAAGGACTGCTTTGGGGGCTTAGTTCATTTTCTCTTTCCTTCTCGCCTTTCAGGGGAAATTCTGATGCTTCAAGATTCCCCACCAGCTGCTCAAAGAACTTTCTCCTGGGATCCCCTACGTGTTCAGAATCTGAGGGCCAAAGAGAGACCCTCTGTCCCGATGGCAACTTTGTGGAAGAGGCTCAATGACCCCATGGCCCTTCCTCTGTCTCAGCAGTGCCTAGGGTCTGGCTCCCCTCAAAGACACTACAGCTCCTACCCAGAGCCCAACACTCACTCAAAGTGCCTTAGCACAGGACCCCAGGTCCCTGCTGTCCCCTCAAGTCCGGGGCCGACCTCAAATCAGCTGACTCATGTGGATTCACAAGGACGGGCAGCTATGGTAGATGTGGGTGGGAAGCCAGTCACAGAGCGGGTGGCCGTGGCCTCTGCTGTGGTTCTTCTTGGCCCCGTGGCCTTTGAGCTTGTCCGGCAGAACCAGCTGAAGAAGGGAGATGCTCTGGCGGTGGCCCAGCTGGCTGGGGTCCAGGCAGCCAAGCTAACTAGCCAGCTGATCCCCCTGTGCCACCATGTGGCCCTGAGCCACGTGCAGGTGCAGCTGGAGCTAGACAGTACACGCCATGCTGTGCTGATCCAGGCACGATGCCGGGCCCGGGGCCCCACCGGGGTAGAGATGGAGGCACTGACCTCAGCCGCCGTGGCTGCCCTTACCGTGTATGACATGTGCAAGGCAGTTAGCAGGGACATTGTGGTGGCAGAGGTGAAGCTCATCAGCAAGACTGGAGGTCAGCGGGGGGACTTCCAGCGGGCTTAGGGTGCCGCACTCACTCCTCATGTCTCCCAAAGGGATACAATTTGGGCTGAGGAAAAGATGTCACATCCTCTAAATCTACTCTCTGTGACCCAGGGTCACCCCGATATTTATTGTAACCTTTGAGGCGTCCTCAACACAAGACACCTCAGGCCTTGATAACTCCCAGGACTCAGGCAATGGAAGGTTTGATGCTGGATACCACCACTACCACCCACCCCCACCCCCACCCCCACGTCATGTCATATTACTCGGGTTGTTTCAGACAGACAGCTTTAGGCATCCCTCTCATCTAGGGTTCTCTTTTCTCTTCCCTGGGGAGAGAATAAGGGCTCATTAAGCAGAGGAACCCGCTCTGAGAAGGAAAAGCACAAGCTTTCTAATGAATGTATCAGACTTGCCACTCCCTAGCCTCCAGCTGTCTCCAACAGGATACGGACCACAACCCTAAGGACTTGTGCCAACATTTACCCACACCTGGTTTTGCTCACTGTGGTCTGCCCACACCTCTCTACTCTGGCCCACATTGGGGAAAGGAGTTGAAGGTGACCTTTACTCTCACAGCGCACAAATAAAGCCATGATGCCAGTTTTGATGAAGACTCTTGTCTATGAAGAGGGCACCAAACTGCTGTTTTGTTTGTTTGTTTGTTTGTTTGTTTGTTTTGTTTTAACCCATCAGCCCCATTCCTAGACTCTCTAATGGAGGGTGGGTGGGAAGAAGGACCCTAGAAAAGCCAAGGGCCATATTCCCTGGAACCTTCCTCCCCCTGTGGGGTGGGGTGGAGAGTCGGGGAACTGCAGAGTGTGTCCTAAGGCAATTTGACAGATGGGGTCCCAAGCTTAGCTTGGAGATCAGGCTTGTAAATTAGAGGCTCCTAGCTTAAGTACTCCAAACACTAGCATGCCAGGTTCCCTAAGATGAGGGCTTCTTCAGTGGTGCCCCTGCGTGATAACAGATGTTTAACAATCATCTCTTTAAACAGGTTTCCATGACACAAAGTGCCCAACTCAAGCTTTCCACATAAGCTCAACTGGCTTAGAACATTACAGAAAATGTACATTAGCACTCATAGAGCTGGCTCTGCCCACTCAACATAACCCAAGTTCACACGTGATGAAGAGTTTCTAGGCAGGCTCAGGGAGGGGGTGAATTTAATATTTTTTAGTATTACAATATATTCTTATAAAAGGGTGCAGGTAAAAAGGGCACTGTAGAGTTTTGTACATATGAACCTTGTCTGTCTTTTGCAGCAGCTGTTGAGAGCAGCCTTGGCATGAAGGTTGGCAGATGCCCTGGGGAGGTGGTCACAGCTCCCTCCCTGGTGGCAATGGAAGTGGGTGGGAAGAGCCCATGCCTACATTCACCCATCTGGAGAGTTTTGTCCTTCCGCCCCCTGGACGAACTTCCAACTTGGAAGGGGAATTGCAGCTGCTGCGAGGGGGTGTCTTGGCTGGACTATGAGTTTTATATTGTGCACAAAATTAACTGGAGCGGTTGCCCCACAGGCAGCAGGAGGGGTGGTGATACTGGGTAGACTTCATTTATCACTGAGGACCAGCCTGTACACCTCCACTGGGCACCAGTCATTTCCTGCTCAGTCACCCACAGTGGTCCATGGTCCAAGGCACTGTTGAACTCTGGTTACAGAGACACACAGCACCAGAGCCACTGGCCAGATTTAGAAAATAATAAATAGAGAAGGCTGGGCTCTGGAGAGATGCCAGATGGCTTTTCTGAAGATCCAATGTGTTCCTTCAACAAATTCCATCTTCCTTGTCTTTCCTGGTGCATGTCTGGTCTCCATGATGGTTGGTAAGGCCAGGACCTAGCCATGTCTGTTGGACAACCGTGTAGCCCATCCCTGTCTCCTGCCTCTTGGATGGCAGGCACACAGCCCATCCAGTTTGGGAGAGGATGCGAAGATGTCCAGCACCAGCCTCTCCTTTCTTTGATAGCTTGCTTCTTTATGGGGGTGCAAGAGATGGGGAGGTCTCGGTGTACAGGTGACTGTTAAAGCTCTCCTCCATAGCTGCTCTTCTTAGAAGCCCTTTACCCTCTCGGGGTGGCTTTTCCACACCGTACCGGTCAGGCTTCCACTTGCTAAGATCCCTTTCAAACCAATGCACATACCCAGCTTAACCCTATGTTTCTTCTCCCCACAACCACTATGGTCCCCCCCCCCCCCAGGAATCTCCTGTAGGAAGACAGGCAGTTAGAGGATTGGGCAGCCCTCATCCACTGGCAGTGACCCTGAGCCAGCAGGTTAGATGAGAAGAGCAGGGAGCTGATGGATGGTAATTGGGCAAGACTGGTCTCTAGGCAAGAGGGGATAGGGGTACATAAACCTTCATGGAGTTGATCTCACCCTACTCCATTTGGAGTATTTGCCTAGATGTAACAGTGCTCCCTACAGATACCATAGAAACAGTTGAAGATGGACAGGGCGGAAGATCGAGTGCTGTCAGAGAGGCCAGAATGATCCCATGCAGGTAAGGCTGAGCAGCCAAACAGCACCGATGTAGGGGCACACCCCGAAGAAAGCGTCCTACACAAGCACTCCCTCCTCTGCCCTCATCTCCCTGCCATCTCCGGCCTGCTCTTCCCAGTTCCCCGTCTACAAGTCTCCCTCGGAGTGGCAGTTAAATATGGAGGGTCATTCTAGCCCTCACACTTCCCCAAGGCCAGCTACAGCCAAGTATGTGGAGCTCCATGGGACCTGCAGGTGGAGACAGAGGCCACGGTGGCATAGCAGGGTCCAGCTGAGGGAGATGATAGATGGGGCACAGCTGGGGGGATGAAGCATTTGAGTGCTGTCCTCTGGTGAGGAACTACTGATCTGAGGTCACTGTCTCTCCAGGACAAGGGACAGATTGCCTTGGGATTTGCTTCAACCCTCTGCCTGAGTCTGGTGAGGTGGCGATGGAGGTCTTTCTTGTCCCCCCCCCCCTTACCAGAGCCACACTCTAAGCTGGTGGTGAGCCAGAGTTCTGGAAACCAGAGATGGGTTTTGGAACTGAAGATTAAGTAGATGGGATGGAGGTGGCTAGGGAAGAAGAAAGGCCCCAGGACCCACTATAGAAAAAAAGGTACAGATAACTCACAAAACGGGTGCTAGTCTTGTTCTGCATGTTTTCTAGAACATGCTAGGGCTTATATAGCTAGAACTCATAAGGCCTCTAGTTTCCATCCCAGAACCACATTCCACTGGGCTATCTCTTCATACAGGAGCCTGGAGTCCCGTAGGCTGGCTCTCGGGTTCCACTCCACCACCACATACTATACAAGAGGTGGGGACAAGGAATGCAGTCTCCTGGGTCTTAAACAGCTCTGTGCCAACGTGAGGTTGGCAGTGGAGAGCAGTGTCCTCCAACCTGCGATTTTCTGACCAAAGCCCAGGGCCTGCCAGGGATGCCCAAGCTAGTTTTAAGAGAATGATGCCCAGGAGAGGGGTGGGTGTACAAAGAGAGATGGGGAAAAGATGGATGAGACTGAATAATGTAAAGGGGAGAAAATGAGAGAAGCCCCCGTGTCAGTGCAGGGAGACACCTGGTCTAGCCGCACACAACCCCCAGGACCCAGCCCAGGGCTCCCAAATCCAGCTCTCCAAATCACCTAAGTCATTGCTTCTTCTACTCCACTCCTCTCCCCTAATCCCTGTCTCCAGGCTTGCTGCTATGTGGGCATTACCCAGTCCTCAAGTCAATAATTTAGCCTGTTTATCGCCCTCTCGCGGGTGACTTCTGGGGCCTGGCTCCCTGGTCGCTTGCGGTTGCGTTTGAACTTGTTTAAGTCCTTGTCAAAAACTTCTCCAGAGCGCAAGGCTGACACCAGGTCATCAAACTCGCCACTCTCCTCCAGGGTGCCACCTACCAGGATCTTCCGCTGCCTCTGCCATCTTTCTTTTTCACGCTGCTCCTTCAGCTGGGAGTGGAAAGGAGAGACAACTCAAGGACAGAGGCAAGGCTGCCTGCAGCCCTCTAAGTCTTTGGATGCTCTCCCAGGCTGTGGCCAGAGACCACTCTGCATCTTTTCAGGATGCCCCACCCTCCCCACCTTACGTGGCTCTCCCCAACAACCCCAAGCTACGAGATATTTCTCTCCTCAAGGTCTACACTATCCCAGCTCCTTTTTTTATCCTTCACACCCAGAGTAGCATCCCCTCCTGCTGTATCCTGGCCCCAGGCAACCCTCACCATGGATTCCATGCGTGCCCTCTTCTCATCGTCCTCCTTCCTCCTCCTCATGGCCTCCAGTTCCTGCCGGGCCTCCAAAAAGGCCTGCAAGAAGGTGTCGAAGATGCCAAAGAACTCATCTGGCTGCATATTACTCTCCTGCTCCCCAAAGTGTGTCAGTGCCTTGGCGAACTATAAAAGAGACAGGTGGAAGCATGGTGAGCTCAAGCCTATAGTCAGCTGGCTTCCAGCTGAGCCCAGTCCAAGCTGGGGGAAGGGGGCCGGATTGTACGCTGGGGGACAGGTGTGGGGGGGGCCGGATTGTACGCTGGGGGACAGGTATTTTGAAACGTTAATACCAGGTTCACCAGTGGAAACTTCAATCCAAAATTCATTGCCTATTTATTCCTTGTCTTTACTCTGTTATTCCCCCTCCCAACACCATGAGGCTGACTTCTGGGGAATGGATTGAGACTACATAAGCACCACCTCTGGGTTTTTTATATTGTAGATATGGGATCAGGAGATGTTGACCCGAGCATGACTTTACTAAAATCAGGAACCGCGTGGCTAGAACGGAAAGGGCCCTAACAGGACATGTCATCACTGGATGACTGACTTGGCCCCTCTGTCACTCAGCTTCTTCACCTGTAAGATTCGGATCAGTTTCATGATACTATTGTGGGAGTTAAATGTCATGACAGAGGGAATTGGCTGTCCCCGTTCATGAAGCAGGCACTGCTCTTGGTCTGTCGTAGCCCTGTGTTCTCTTACCCAATTCACACAATATCATCTAGGAAACATTACCAAATAGTGCTCCTGGGACCAGCAGCCTGTGCACCTTCTGGGAGTTTGCTGGAAATGCTAGCTGTCCAGCTCCCAAGTCTTCTGAATAAGAAGCTACATGTTTGCTGAGCGTGGTGGCACACGTTTGTAATTCCAGCACTCTGGGAGGCAGAGGCAGGAGGTTGACTGTGAGTTCGAGGCCAGCCTGGTCTGGAAATTGAGTCCAGGACAGCCAAGGCTACACAGAGAAACCCTATCTTGAAAAACAAAACAAACCAAGCAAAAAAAAAAAAAACAAAAAAAAAAAAAAAAAACAACAACAAAAAAAAAACAAAAGCTACGTGTTAGAAGGAACCTCACACACAGGCCCATCCGTATCCATCTTCACCATGGCAAGTTCAAGGCTTGGGCTCTCAGGATGCTCACCCAGGTGACCGAAACCCTCTGCTTCTCAGGGTTTGCGTCTGCTGAATGGGGCTATAAACACTCAGCAACCCCATAAGGTGGGTGATGGAGCAATCACAAAGCCCTAGTGGCTGGGGTAGGGCTCGTTCTGTAAAGCGCTTGCCAGGCAAGCACAACAGCTGAGTTTGCCCTCAGGTACTCCAAGTGTGTACGTGGCAGTGTGATGA